GTCTTCTTTCCTATTGGCTGTCGCTCCCGAAAGTCGCTTCTCATTTGCATAAAGTTGAAGGATTCTGAACTTTATCGCATCGCTGGACACGCCCCATCCGTCGCCAACGCCCGCTGTCGCACTTGTCGCCGGAAATCGCCAGCTCTCCATTGAAATGAATGGGATCTTGTCACTTTGTCGCTTGTAGTGTGAACGGGGCTTAAGGGTACAGCACCCAGGTTCACATTGCTAAGCCACTAGTTAATTTCTCTGGGCTTCACTAGCCCAGAAACACATTTAAGTCAAGTCACTAGTTTTACGCTATCTGGTCAACTGATCAGGTACACACAGCTATAGTCCACTAGCGTTAAGCCATTCGGCAAAGCAGGCCCAGGCTCACATACTGTATGTATATATTAATATATATATAATTTAACAAGATTCCAAGACTTCCAAGAGTTTCAATGTGACCTTGATATAACTAACTAACTAAATCAATAAATAAGCAAATAAAAAAAAAAGTCACAAGGCTAGTTAACATGTTCAGTTATTTGTGGCTGTATATAATGTGACTGCAGGCAGGATGCAGCTTTTTCCTTTGATGGCCGTTCAAATGTTGCCCTGAATGCTGAGAAACACAAATTTATTTCCAGCAGCATACTTACAGTATATTGCCTGTTTGTTTCGAAAGGCTCTTAAAAGCATGAAATTGACTTGTTTTGTACTTTTCCCTTTTAGTGAAGGGCTTGATTCTGTGATATTATAGTCCTCCTCCCAAGGCAAGCATCACCATTGTTATTGCTCACAGTTCTTCCACAAACTCCAGTTGCACCTTTTCCCACACCATTTGTGCTACGGATGTGAAAGAGACCTTAAATCATACAGATTGTGAGAGGTTTGTTGTTACTTTTCTGAATGATCAGGCTTGCAATTTTTACCAGGAGGATGATAAAACCCATAGACCTACATTAAACCCAAGCCATATACAGACCATAATATATATCATAGAGATTTTGGGCAGACAAAACATGTGGCGGAGGGTTTTGCACAAGCAAGCACCGCCCATTTATGTATTCACTGTTATCTTTTGCAGTGTATTCTCCCTTGCAAAACTCATAGTTAAAAGAAATAAGAAAAATAAATTGCCTAGGAAATTTATTTCGCTGAGTTTCAGCCCTTTTCATTATGGTGGTGTCGGTCTACAGTAAATCGATCTGTATCAAAAGCTGCAGGGGTAGAACTGCTGAAAACCTGCTCACTATCAGACCAGGGGCTCTGAGCAGAAGGGACAGAACAGGGTTCATTATTGATTCCTCAAGAGCTGTTTGCTCTTCTGAGCTGCTATAGCCATGAATTATACCTCATACTCCATCTGTGCTGATAGCTGAGCTATTTTCAAGAGGATGTTGTGGGTGTGCATTCGAGGACATGCAAAAATATAAACATGTCATACTCAGAGTTCGGAGAGGATCCATCTCCACGGTTCTGTTTTTTTATATATATATATTTATATTTGTTTTCTTGTCGAGCTGTGTTTTTCAGTTTTGAAAATGGTCATTGATAAACAGCTTAGACTGAAGTTATCCTCTGAGTTATTGCATTGCAGACAGACACATTTTATGTGTATATGTGACCCGTGCTGGCAAAATGAGTCGGAATGCACGCAGGGTAATTTTGAGATACACGCAAAAAAGTGAAAAGTGGCGATTTTAGTCGAATTTGAGATTTTCATAAAAATTAGTTCATTAAACCCTTATCTAGCAATCCCAATGCTCCAAAATAGCAATTAAACATCTAAAATTATCGTTATTTGTAAGTTTTCTGAGAGGAGTACCTTTTCTCCGCTCATTTCTCGCTGACTGTCATCCAAAGCGCCCGCATAAAGGCGCGTCCGACTGTGCGCAATCCCGATAAATATACATATTGTCACAATCCCCAGCTGGAGTGCCCATGAACCACCAGAGGGCACTCCACCCCAGACTGTTGTTACACTCTCACAGACTACATTCCCCATAATCCTTTGCCAGACTCATCACTTAATTGCATTCACCTGTGTCTTGTTACCCCGTTACATCTGTGTTTTCTGAGTCACATAGCGAAACCTTGTTAGTTGTAACACTGCATTTCTGAGCACTCTCCCAGGTTTATGTCTCTTGTTTTTTTTTTATCTCTTGCCTGTTTCTGAGTTTTGACTGAGTTCCCTGCATTGTCGTTTGTCTGGATTGCCTACCTGGGTTTTGACCTGCTGCCTGTATTTTGGATCACGTCTCTGGTCTGTCCTAAATAACATTTGGATCTCCTATCTTTCAAGTCTCCAAGCAGTATGTTACACATATACACAGAATTACAGTATTCATGCAAGCATAATCTGTTATGTCTTAAGTGTCCGTTTGGCGAACTGTTGGGGAAAAACATCTGTGTAACATTATATTAGATCCGTGCATTACAGTAGGTCTTAATATATAGGCCGTCTGTCTCATTAATGTTAATCTAACGATAAAAGAAAAGAGGGAATCACTCACTGCTCTTGATTTACCTGCTTTTTGTAGTTTTAATAATCTATTTATTTGTAATGAACTCACTAAAGGGATTTTAACATTTGATTTAGTTTTTCTTACTTGAATGCTTTTGCTTAGATGTAAAATGAAAAAATAATGCGTTATTTGTTTTTTTCTTAAATTAGTTCTACTGTTTTTTTTTTGTTGTTGTTGTTTTTTTTGCATCTGTTCTTATAATAACTAAGATTAAAAAAAAAGATTATTAATATAGTAATTATTATTAAGAAAATAACTGGAGGGAAAGATGCAACGTTGCTCTGTGCTTTGGAACCATCAGAAAACTTTAACTCGATTTTTCTCAAAATTGACTTTGCTGACTCCATCGACGCGTGTAGCTCAGTCATTTTCCGTCTGATTCCAACAAATCATACATCATTCTGAGGAAATTTACAGGAAAATGTGAAAATAAAAATTGCGTGTTGTGACTCATTTTGCCAGAACAGGTCTAGGGCTGCTAAATCGAAATGGAATCGAGATCGCGATTCGACAGAAGCTGCGATTGTCACAGGTCACATGTGTTTGTGAATCTAACCAGTGGTTGTCATGTTTTATATGTACTGTATGCATGAGCGTTATCATTGCACAGCCAGTAGTGTTGTTGAGCATTGTGTGGAAGATGCTCTCTAGCATGAAGGACACACAAGTGTGAAGCTCTGCTAAGCTTTGTCAAGGACTTGCTCATTCACTTCTGAAACCCGAGAGAGAGCGTGTGTGTGAGTGTGTTCAGTGTTAACATGCTGTTGTGTTCGTACATATGCTAATGTGCTCTTAGGTCTTTCACAGTGATTGCGGCCCATTTCACATTTAAAGTTGTGTCATTAAACCTATTATTTCAGTGACTGTTCAACAACTAAACACTGCAATATTCCTCCCTTTATGTATCAAGTTGTTTTATGTATTAGTCACGCATATGAATCATTGTTGAAATACTTAATACAATTTGTCAGTATAAAGGGATTTATTTAGCAAAAAATATATCAGGGGGAAAAAAAATAAACTAGCTGGTTCATTTTCAGGAAGTAGTGCCATTTAAGCTAATGCCATACAAACAAACTAACTAACAAATAAAAAGGTGGATGCGTCCTAGATTAGTGGTCAATGGGTTATTCAATGGTGATTCTTAAAATATTACCCCTAAACCTAAATATGTAGGTAGCAATAGTTATTTATAAACCCTACAAGCCCAAATGTGTTATTTATTTCCGTCCTGTCACAGTTGGTTTGGAATTTATGTGCTTAAATTTGAAAATGGGCTACATTTGTAAGATCTGGTTGTATCATTGTATTTCTGTGTGCATGTCTTGTAATAAATCATACATTGTAATTGGAAGACAATATTGATAAACCATTTTAAAACAATCCTGTTAAATGCTTTTACACCACATCACTTTATTCACATTCAATATTCTTGTGTGTTGGGTCAATAACACATTTGCTATTGGGATTAATGTAGCGTTCTTATTCAGAATTCAGCTCAGACTAGTTCTCGAATATGCATTCTAGCGACAGTGTGCAATGGACACCATATTAAAATACTCTGACAATGTTTTCTTCATGACTATGCAATGGTGCCTCCACACAAAATCTACAGAGCAAAACATACTGTGTGGCCAATGTAGTCCGATTCTGAAGAATGACTCACGACTCTGCAAGCCAGTGGATCAAAATCATAAAGCATAACAATTGCATTTTTTTTTTTTTATGAACAGGCGACCAAAAAAAAAAAAAAATCTGTTTTCAGTCTAAGTTAATTTATATAAGTAGTAAGGATATAACTGTTGTAAATGTGTGGATTTTGGCCTCAGTATTGACAGTTTTATACATCCAAGAAGAATTGTTCCAAACCACAGAACCATTGCAACACCGAGGAGCACACAGTTGTGATGTTGTGTGCCTGAATGGTTCAGTGTTTTTGAATAAATCAGTTGAGTGACTAATACAATGACTCACTAACCCTAACCCTAAAACCAGGTATTACAATGTAACTGTTGCATAAAAGTATTTAAAATGTTTACAAAGTAGGAATAATATAAATATTTTAAAAGGATTCAAGGTTTTGATCTCTCTTCTCTTTTTTTACTTGACTGTTTTTCATTCCTCTCAATGTATTAAAGACATGTTTCCGGTTTTAAATTGTGTCATGCAAATTGGCCTATAAAATAATGTGCAACACTTTACAGTAAGGTTCAATTTGTTAGCATTAGTTAACTGCATTACTAACATGAACTAACAATTAAAATACTTCTAAAGCACTTATTAATCTTAGCTATTGTTAATTTAAACATTTACGGATACATAATTACAATCAAAAGTTGTATCTGTTAATATTTGTCATGGATTTGAGCTAACATGAACTAACTATTAATTTTAACACCGATTAATAAATGTTATAACAAATGCATTACTAATGCGACCTTATTGCAAAGTATTACCAAATAATGTTTTAAGATGTGCTACATTGCATTCCACAGTAAGATCTATGAAATACTGTGTGCATATCCTGTTTCTGTTGTTTAAGAGCGTCCCAGTTATTCATGAGTTCAGAACCACTTCCAGATGTTGACTTCATCTCATTTTTGTTTATTTTACACTTTTGTTTGCCTGTGTCCATGTCCACCGGTTTCAAATCCACTTACCCAGTTCCCATTATCCGTTTTTTGAAAATATCTTCTGGATCTCCAGTCGAGATTGTGCTAATAACCGTGGGCTGTTCACCGACGGCTACAGTTAGGAACAGATTGTTCTGGAAGAGACGTGAGATACTGTGAATGTTGCACTGTGACGAACAAGCCAGGTGTGACCCCTTGGAGGAGCGCTGAACAAGGCAGAGACAACAAAACTAATACAAGCATCTGTGAGATGTTTGAATGCAATCTACAGAAATCTCAGGTTCTTGAAGTTGTTTGAAGAGGAGTTACTTCACTTTTTATTTCACCCCACCAGGCCCTCTATAACACTTAGTCGGGTGTATCTCAGCTCAGTTTCCAAGACAACAGTGATTATATATTATTTTCAGGCTAACACTGATATCTAAGTCCTGTCGGATAATGATGAAAACCCATTATCTGTTAATCTGCACAAAGAAATCAGTCAAGTCTTAACAAGGACTTTTCTAAACTTAGCTAATTAAAGAACAGAATAAGAGTTTGTTTGTTTGTGAAGGCCGCCAATATGTCCAAAAGAATATTATTTCTTGCTTGTTGGGAGCTGGTACTGGTATTAATTAATGGTATTAATGTTACCTGTTCATTATTACATGCTGTTCTTTGACTTCAAAGCATCTGATCTTCACCAAAGCTGCCAAAACCTATTTGTCGGTTCTTACTAGATGTGGATATTTCAGAGTTTAAGTTTAACCTCTGTCTCGCAGACGAATTACTGCAGTTGGACTTTAAGCTTTGTTTTCTATGTTACATAAATCTGATCGTCATCACAGAGCTTTGAGACATGGGAATAAACACTCTCACTCCTACGTCCACTCTACAGGGAGCTCGCGGATTCAATTTATGGCCAGGCTGTCCCCAGAAAGGATCAGGACACTTGCCTTTCCTCGTTTTATTGTAGCATTAGAGCTGCTTGCTGTATTAAGTGGTCCAAATTGACCTTTCTCTAAGCTCCGCCCCTCTTCTGGTTATCTTTGCTCACTCAGGCAAGCTTTATAGATCGTTCCATTGAAATTAAGTGGAGAATTCTGAGAACAGCTTGGAAAATGTATTATATTAGACAGTGGCATGATTAAACTGATTCAGATACTGATTCAGACGCAAGAAAAAAAAAATTACAAGCAACTAAAAAAAGAAAAGCTTTCGAAACATTGAGATGAGTGTGAGTGAACAGAATCGTTCCTGATGTTTCTACAATATCCTCAGCAGTGTAGAGGAGACCGGAGAGTGTAACACTCATACATAGTTATTTTTGCAAATCAGCATATTAGAATGATTTCTGAAGGATCATGTGATACTGAAGACTGGAGTAATGATGCTGAAAATTCAGCTTTACATCACAGGCGTAAATTACATTTTACAAAAAAAAAATAAATAATAAATTGTAATATTTTCAAAATATTGCTGTTCTTACTGTATTTTTGATCAGCCTTGGTAAGCAGAATAAACTACTTTTAAAAACAGTCTTAGCAAAGACCAAACTTTTGAACAATGGTATAGATTAAAGAAAGAGCAAAAGCTTGCCTGATAATGGTGGAAGGCAGCAGTTCATTTGATGGTGAGTGGGAGAGGTGTGACGTCATGTGAAATCACAGCAGGAGTCTAATCGTGTTCTTCTCTCTGTTCCCACAGGCTGCCCTCAGAGTCCCATGAGCAAAGCTTCGCTAACACTGATCACTGTCTGCACGTGTGTGGTGGCGGTCGTGTACGGCACGCAAACGTCCTGTCCTCTCACCGTCAAGGTCACGCTCCATGTTCCTGAACACTTCATCGCTGACGGTGAGCAATCTACAGACAACCACAATGAATTATTTTAAGACCATAAGGAACCTTTTTTTTGTCGTAGTGCCTTTTTACTGCATTAAAGTAGATTCAGAACAACAACACAAACAAAATGTTAATGATATCAACATTTATTTACCTGTTACCAACATGGTGAATTGTAGGCCTTTTTTATGTTTACTGTGATGTATTTAGGAGACTCTTATGTCTAAAGTGACTTGCATTGTGTTCAAAGTATCTTTACATTGTTTATTAGTTCATGCATTTGAATGAACAACCTTGGTGTCAGAAGGCAAAATTATATTTTGCTGCTTCGCAAACACTTTCAAAGTGAACTAACAATGCCTTCAGATTTATCTGAAACAGATTTAAGTGGCTCGTGTTTCACGGGACTCGTACCCAAGTACTTTACATAACAAGTGCAATGCTGTACCAGGTGCGCTTCTGAGCAAGTTTACTATGTCACAAAAGCCACACATATGGAGCTAGTTATGTAATGCAAACATCAAAATGCATTAGTCTACAAATCATGCACTATGATGAAAGTATTTTGAGCTCATAAAATAGTATTAAAATAGTAAAGTGCAATGCTGTACCGGGTGCGCTACTGAGCAAGTTTACTACAGGGTTCCAAACTGCGACTAAAACGGTCGCATTTGCGACCAAAAATATTAAATTGCGAGTGAAGTTTTTGCTGAGGTCGCCACTGGCGACTAGGCCTATGTATTTACATGTTATAACTTAAAATTTTGCATGTAATGCTTTATTCCTGATTGTTTTGCGATCACATCTTTTGTTATGTTCGCGTATTAAACTTGAGACGATGCGCATCAAATTTTTAGTGGAAAAAAGATTTTCAAACAGTCCTCATCTCTGCCGCACGGCAGCGTTTTCGCACACAGTCTGCTAAACGCAGCTCAGTTGTGCAGCACGAGAGAGATTGAAGTGATGGAGACGTAAGAAGTGAAAGTGCAGAAAAACAGCGTCTATTTCGTGCACAACTTGAACAAAGTACAACGAAGCTGTCAGCTGTGTGGATCTTGGCAATATCGTTAACAATTCTCGTTTATAATCATTACTAATATGGCTTCTT